TGTGGTGGCCGGGAGCGTGCCACTGCCCTCCAGTCTGGGCGACAGAGTGAGACTCCAACTCAAATAAATAGATAAATAGATAAATAAATAAATAAATAAATAAATAAGGATTCAGAAAGTTGCTCCTTTTCTGAAAATAATTTATCCTGCATTCAGAGCCCTACTGATCTTTCATGTTAACCTGTGTGAGTAACGTATGATTCCGTTTTGCCCGGGAACCATAATTGTACCTTAAAATGTTCATTCCGTTGGATTATAGGTATTGAAAATACTTTCGTGAATATTCTGTTATTCCTCTACACTCAATGAACTTTTTTTCTACAAACCTCTTCAAGTAATAATTGACTTTTGCTTTATACTTGAATGGCTTACTCTGTGATTTGGGTTTTTTCATACAGGTTTTCTTAGGATCAACAACTCTAATATATGACTATAAAACTGAAAAGTGGAAAAACTGATTTCCAGATTTGTTACTGACTTAGCATTAAATTTTATGACATTTTCCAGATATCTAGTTGTATTAGTCTATGCAGGCTGCCATAACAAAATACCACAGTCTGGTGGCTTAAAGACAACAGTTAATTTCCCCTAGTGCTGGAGCCTGGGAGATGGGGTAGGCAAGATGGGGTGCTGGCAAGATGGGCTTCTGGTGAGTCCTCTTTGCTTGATTTCATCCTTTGGAGGATGATAGAAAACCATTTCATTATTTTGAAAACAGGCAAGTAAATGGGAAAAATCAATCATTATTCCTGCTGTGTAGTATAAAGTGTACCACTGTGTAACCAGTTAGTAGATGAATCATTTCCTTATAAGTAATAGAATTTTCATGTTACAATTTTCAACCTCCTATGGATCTGGGCATTGACCATCAACAGCTGGTGACATCTTGGAAAGAGAGACAAGTAGACAGATTTGCCTCATAATGGAAGACGCAACACCACCTAAATACCCTTGCCTAATGGGTCAGACCTAAGCCTGTATGAGCTGATCCCTGCCATCTTACAGAAGCAGAACATGTCAAACTGCCTATGAGTATTTAATAAGTAAAATTTAGACTGTGGGAAGCTTTGCAAGACAAATGGCCCAAGCTATTCAACAGAGAAATTGTAAGGAAGAGAGAGTGTGAGAGGAGTAATTAACAGATTAAAAGACATTTAAAAGAACTTCAAAAATAAAAAAGCTAATGCTAAACTATGGTGCTAAAGAATATTCAGGTTATAAAACTGTAATGAAATGCAAGTGATTTTAAAACATATCTCCAATGTTTTAAAACACTCTCTTATATATGACCCTTACCCTTGACTCTGAGCTGGCCTTAATGACTCACTTGTAACCAATTAGAATGCAATAGAAGTGACTCTGCAAGACTTCTGAGGCTAGGTCATAAAAAAACCATGTTTCCTTCTTGCTCACTGGGCATCACTTTTGGAGCCCTGGATAACCATGTGAGAAATCCAGATACTATGAGGCTGCCATGCTGTGAGGAAGTGTAGGCCACATGGAGAGGCCTTGAATACCTGCTCTACATTTAGCCTGAGATCCCAGCCAAGAGCTGTTATAGATTTTCAGACATATGAGTAAAGATGTCTCTAGATGATCCCAGCCTCCAGCTATTAAGTGGAGACACACTGGTGACTTGAAGGTGGCTGTGGTAGGAGTGTTTGCACCATGGAAATCAGCAAACTCTGCAAATCAGAGGCATTCCTGCTGTGCCTGTCTAAATTCCTGCCCCATAGAATCCATGAGAATAATCAAACGGGTGTTTCAAGCCACCCTGTCTTGGAGTTATTTGTAATACAGTGTTGGAACAGCAACAAAGTGATTACTATAAAAAGAGAGTAGTTACTTTTCAGGAGAGGAGGTGGTTGAGAATGGAACTTCTGAGACTTCTGGGGTGTCTGGCAAATTCTATTAACTTGAGTAGTGGCTACAAGGATATTCACCCTACAATAATTAAGGGGATCATATATTTGTTTTTTCATTATCTTTTATAATTAAACATTTGTTTAAAATTCTTTTCGTGTAGGAAATAAAAAGATGATTTCATTTTTATTTCTAGTATACTCAGCAAAAACGCATTTTTGATATGGAACGACTGTATGACAACATTAACAATTTATTTTATTGATTTTGAAACCTAAATTATGGAAGTCTATAGGAACTTTGTGTCAATGCAGTATATATATTCAGAATTTAAGTAGTCATACAGTCTTAAAGGAGAGAACCACTTATAATGAGGTCCTTTAATAGTTAAAGTCTAATTCCCATTGATGGAAATCCAAACAAGCTTTATACCAATTATAACTCACTAGTGTGCCAGAGTTTGGGGGATATAAAAATAACAGCCTTCTTGTTATGTTTCTTATGTTTACATAGAACAGAAATATAATTCTTATTTATTTACTAAGGTAGTTCTACATGAAATGATTTGAACATATACAGTATTTTTATTTTAATGTATCAGATAATGCTAAATTTGATTAGATTGGATATTAGTTCCTAATATTTGGTTGTCTATATTTAGACAAAATTGTAAAGACATTGAGAATAATAATGTAATAGTTAATCATGCAATAACAAGCAGTCTGGCACAGTGCCCTACATAAAAGACCCTCGTATTTGAGTTGTATTGAGTTGGTAAAGTACTAAAGAGCTATATGATATGATTTAAGGTGTGTTCAGAAGGTCTCAGTAATAGTTGGCCAAACCATGGTTTCTGAAATTCCACCATTAGGATTTACTCATTTGGATCTATAAAACAAATATCCTTTAAAAATATTGCATTGCAGCTAGAGACCATCATCATGAGTGAATTATCACAGAAAAAGCTGAATACCATATGTTCTAATAAGCAAGAGCTAAATACTGTATGCACATAGGCACAAGGATGGTAACAGCAGACACTGGGGCACTGCTAAAGGGGGCGGGGGTGAGGGTAAAAACCACTCACGGGGTACCATGTTCACTACCTGGTGAGCCCGAGCCTCACCATCACACAGTATTCCTATGTAACAAACCTGCACATGTACCCCTTGAATCAAAATAGAAAATAAAAATAATGCATCAAGTTTCTTTCAGGCCCCATGTGGGGGCTCACACCTGTATTCCCATCATAGCCTGGGGAGGCCAAGGCAGGAGGATCGCATGAGGCCAGGAGTTTGAGAGTAGCCTGGGTAACATAGCAAGACCCTATCCCAACAAAAAATAAAAAGTGTCTTTCGGTCAACACCTTGACATAAGATAGATGTTACAAATCTTAGTGAGACTTAAGGTAGTGGAGCATGGCCCCACACCTGAGGCAAGGTGGGAGAAACCTCAGAAGAAGGTGGCTGTGTAATGAACAGAGAGGTGGAAAATTCCAAAGATGAGCTCCATCTTTCTCAGACCAGCTCTGTTGAGTTGCCATTGGTTCTCCAGCTTAGTCTGAGAAATTATGTTTTTAGGATGTGCCAAAAGACTGAAAGTTTTTTAACACCCAAAGGAAAAATTTAAGGATGAGATAAAATGCAATGGGTTAAATGTTAGGTCAAATAAAC